CCCCCAAGCAATTTAGTTGAACAGCCCTGTATTAAACTTTCAGAAAAAGCTGCTTTAAAGCCAGCATTGACCATAAACTACATTTCCCCAGTGCATGTTATTTGTGCCTGGGAATTCCCTTCAGAAAGTGGGAGAGTTCAGAACTCAAGACTTAMCAAAACTCTCWAACTTTGACTTTTAATAGTAATTCTTTAYTRTTTRTTTTGCATTTAATCAGTCGYACACATAGTACTTTTCAGTGTTTATAAAAGAATGTGTTAAAACACTGTTTATATACAGGAAATACCCCAAAGAGCTCAGTTATYGTTTGTTAGTAGTGCTCAGCCGYATCARTGAGACAAGGGATATGATGTTTTCTGTTAAGTTGGAGTTAAACATAAAACATTGAAGTTAATTAMAACTGGCCCTTTGAGGGCCACCATAATGCTCATGTGGGCCTCAGTGAAAATAAGTTTGACACCTCTGTGTTAGCTACTCAAACTCCAGAAAAAAAGGATGACAGGAGACATGCGCCCTCAGTTTCAGGCTTGACATTTTAAGCATCAGATTTGTGTTTACTCTCGAAATAAAGRGCATCTTCTCAAACTAAAAACAACACTGACTGAAAGTGGGTAGCCTAATCTTGGACAAGTGGAGTGCATGAAAAACTGCCTTGTAAACCGAGCCCCCGCTATGGCACATGATCGATGGAAGTACTTCCATCTACATGATGAATTTCTTTCCTTTCACAGGGAGACTGGAGCCAATATAACTGGCAGACTGACAGAGCACCAACAGAATTGATTAAATACCTTCATATCCTGTGATTCAAATGAGCTGAGGTGTATTGTTAAGGCTGGAAATCATTTTTATATCAAGACTCTTTTCAATGGGTGATGTCTGCAGAGGTTTCTTAGCAAAATGAAGTGAGCTTTATGTTATCAAAAGCAGCCTTGGCCAAGTCATCTGATTATTTCACTTATGCTGATAATCCACACAAAGCTCTGCTGGGGACAATCCTGCCAGCTGGCATGAACTAGTTCATTACAGGAAGTGGAGCCTTGCTCATGTTTAATGTTTTTATACATATATTTTCAGGYGATGGGTCTGATGGAAAAGGCGTACCTTCCAGAAACAAACCAACGACGGAAAGGTTTGACGTGCAACACGAAGAAGAAAGTGGCAAAAGATCTGTGCTGCTGTCACAAAAACACAACRGCAACGAGGAGGAAGCTAAAATGAGAAGAGGTGACAGGGAGAACGTCAAGCGCTGGGCCAAGAGGGCGAAGCATTTGCAGCCAAAGAAGAAAACCGTCCAAAAAGAGGAGCCGCCATTCAGCAGTCAACAGGAAGTGCCTCATCACTCAAAAGAGGTCACAGATGACGAGGAGGAGGAAGAGGAGAAGAAACGATTTGCTCAGAGGAGTCCAGAGGAGAAGGAGCTGCAAATGATTGCTCGTGGGSCACCAGAGGACAAGAGGGCGATGGAGGATGAAGGAAGTGGCATCAGAAAAGAGGTGCACCTTTAAAATATTTTTGGACAATTAGCGCAGTTTTGTTTTGCAAGCAGGGGATCTTTTCACATTCATGCTGTCCAACATGTTTACATGATCCTATTTTCCTACAGTATGAAGCACATTAAAACCATTTACATTCCCAAATGTTATTTTACAAGAAAGAAATCAACTCTACTCTTAAATTATACTTAAAATGTAAAGCATTTCTAGATATTTTGCATGTATTTTTTGTATTAGTACAACTAGAATCAAAGTTATCTAATACTGTATATTTATAATACAGTGATTGTGAATATCTTTAATTTAATTCTAACTACTGAAAACAGTCATGTGACCAGGATAAACACTATTGTTGATATCTAAAGAGAGAGCGGTGAGATTTGATTATATGGTAAAATGGCCTGCCATAAACAATGAGAGCACAAGCTATGTTAGTTTTTGCTCAATTTATGGTCACAAAAAATTTCAGCGCAATATTTCTTTAAACAGCTGAATTAAAGCTGTGGCGACCATCTTGAATTTTCAAATCCAGCTTTTCTTTATTTGTATGCGCCCCTACTAAAAAAATAAATAAAATAAAAATAAATAAAAAATAAAAACACCTTGGCCACCCCCCTGTGCCACCCATTACAAAAAGATTGTAGTTCCAGCCCTGGAAACAAACCAAACAAACCATTACAAATTAAAATAAACGTAATTACTGCATTTAAATCCGACTTTTAGTTGATTTTTTTCTGATTTGGAATAAAAAATTCTAACTTCTGAGTTAAAACGGTCCTGTGAAAAATTAAATAAATAAAAAAAGAAATAAAAATTTTTGTCAACAGGAGCAAAAGAACAAGGCCAAACTAAGAAAAGCTTTATTTCATTTAGCTAGACGTGTGMGATGCAGTTATTTTTCGGAGCAAATTAAAAGAATACAACCAGCAGACACAAAACTAATTTTAACCCAATGCAGTCYCCATTTTTAATAACTTTTCATGTCACCAGGAAAACTTCCTGTGTACAGATCCTCATACAAGTGTCTCAGTAAATCACTGATCGGTTTAATTTGCGCTGCAAAATGTCGCACAGCTTTCACTTTCTTAAAAAGTTTATATTAAAAATAAACTTCTTGTCTTGGTTTCTTGGAATGAAAGCTACAGAAACAGCAGGTACAGAGCATTAATGYATCGTCTAACCTGACATCCTGTCTTCTTGTTTTACCTGCAGGAGCCGGAGATTGAAAGTCTGGCAGCTATCGAGTCAGAGCTGGAAAATGTTGCCCAGAAACTCCACGATCTGCGTCGAGGCTGAAAAAGAAAAAAAAGAAAGAAAAAAAGAAAAACCAGCACAAGTCTGACACGGCAGTCTCTTTGTTCTTCTCCGCTTCACCAGATGCCTGGTTTCCACTGATAGATAGTGTGAACGTGTGACAAGTTTTATCTTTTGCTATTTTTCTTCTAGGATGCCACACTACTGCAGCTTTTTGTTTGTTTGTTTGTTTGTTCAGATATTCTTCATTTTCTCAAAGTAATGTAGCATCCTGTAGATTGAAGCTAGCAGACTAATAAATGCACAAACTCTGTGCTAAAAAGAACAGATTCCTACAGAAATWTCAACGTTATGACAGTCTTACAATCATTTCTTCCTTATGCACATTATCTTGATTAATTAACATTGAGCACTGATTCAAACGAAAGGTTAATTCAGGTACACACACACACACTCACACACACACTCACACACACACACCCCATCATGTGGAGTTGTACAGCTTGTAAAAAGCAGATGCTTACCTGTTGCAGTGGACACACAGAGGACTCTAATCAAGCCAAGGCAATAAGTTTAGATTTTTAGCAGTTAAATGATCGAATTGTGATTGAACATTGTGATAAATTTGTGTAAAAAATAAATAAAACTAATTGATTCTGTAGCTGTAAAAACTGATTTATTAGTGGTGATTCTAGTTTTTTTTTTTTTTTCAATTTGCTCTCAGTTCAGAGTGAAACCTGTTTGTGAGTGGAGATAAAGTTTGCACTTTGTGGGCGATGGAGCTGACGGGATGAATCATGGGGATGACACACTGGCTGTTGACACAATTATTCAGTTCACACATTTCAACCCTTAGTTTTGGCATCAAAATCCCCCTATTGGTCATTGTTTTATTAATGAATAAAGAAAGCAATCCTGCAGTGATTCTAACCACAATTGACAGTTGTCAGTGTGTTSTCATGACTGTGTTTTGTCTTCTAGTATAACGTAGTTTGAAGAGAAAACGAGCCGAAGCTCGGCTTCAGCTGGGCAGCTCCAATGCCGCATCAGTGGATGGATCTGGAATCCGGTTAAAAAATTGAAACCTGCATCTCTGCATCGACACCGGTTGCCAAGGCAGCAACAAATAAAGATGCGATGAGTTTTAAGAAGCTTGGCAGCGACTAATGATACAGTAATATTAGCATGGTTAATAATAAGCTGTGCGCAAATGCCCTTTAAAAATAGCAGGAACGTGGTTTTGTGTTGCGCTTTGTTTCCATCCATTAAACTGTTTCCACTTATTTGAGACTGAGAGGCAGACGTCTGTCTCTGCAGCAACATCCAGATGATTCTTTTTAGAGCCAAGGAGCAGTTTTATTCTGAGCTCCTCACCTTGTCTCTAAGGTGATGCCGTACTGTCGCTTGTACTCAGAGGTGGGTATTAACAAAGTAAATTTGCTTAAGCTCTGTACAGTTTTTGAGAATTGCATTGGAGTAAAAGTATTTTTAATGCTACTCAGGTAAAAAAAAAAAACTAATTTTACTTTTATTCCACACATTTTAACAATAAAATCATATTTTTTATTTAATTTTCTCTAAAGGCTTTAGTTACTACTTTTTTTTGGCTGTTTGTGTAGTTTGTTTCTCTGACTCACTGTAAAATGACACTCCTATACGTAGGTGGCAGAATGCAGCTTTAAACCAGTTGTAAGGAGAAGAAGAAGTTTTGTCCTACWAGTGTTGCCTTATAGGTACACTACTGTTTCAACACTATTTCTAYMTTTGTTTAGATCCTGATCAGTCCTGATTTSAACATGGACTCATCTCRTCTTAAAGCCTTTTAGACTTTTAGCCTTTGTTCTACTGACTTTGGTAAATTGTTTTGTATAAAAGAGTTGATAGTTTATTGTAACAAATACTATTTTCAGTTCAGTGAACTATAACAAA